TTGTCCTAGATTCTTGGAGCAGCATGAACCAGTAGTTCCTTGGCAGTCAGCAAGATGCATTTGTTTGCTTGCAGATCAGGCAGGCTTCCTGGGTCCCTCTCTATAGCAGCACCTTGTTTCACCAACAGACTTATTCTTCTCTTTTTAGCAGGCCGTAAACTTTCAGAGAACCCTCAGGAGAGCAGATACTCTGCTTGCTAGTGTCTGCTTTCAGTCTGCTGGGACCTATTTGGCTTAGTGTTTACACTAATGAACTTAGCACAGGAAATTTCGCTGATGACGTGAAGCTGAGTGACCAAACCGATAGAGTGGAAGCTGGAGATTTAATACAGGAAGACCTAGATGTTCCTGAAGTCTGGAGCAGGAGGAGATAAAATTAAATTATTCAAAGTGCAAGATCATATGTGCAGGACTTGTTAGTGATGTTTTAGCTATAAAAGCCTGTAAGGTTGTTTGCCAAAACGAGATGGTAAGTAAAAGGACTCTAACGTGCTACTTCATCACACAAAGGTTGAACCTCTTATTATGAAAACATAAATGCAATTCCATTGTGTGTTGGAAGTAATTCTAACAGACATACACAACCTTAGGGGGGGGTGAAAAAATAATGCCTCAAAACTCTGGTAAGCTCTCCTCTGTAGTATGTCAGGCAGTTATAGACACCAGTGTTCATAAAAGGCAAATTTTATGGCTATGTGGAGCCAGACTGAAATTTTATCATGCAAGAGGACAGTCAAATAGCAGGATGTGTGTTGGATCATGTATTTTTGCATCTCTGGGGAAATTATTAACTCAGCCAGAGAGCTCTGGGGAGCTCTGCGTGGAGATTGCATGGTTCAGCACAGCTGGAGGGCTCCCATGTGAGGTTCATAAGCCTGAGCTGATCCTGCGCACAAAACTGGGAGTATTGGTCCGATGTCCCCTGGCACTTGTGCAAAGACATAGCTGAGGCTCTAGAGGTGAATTATTGCACAGCCAAGCAAGTCTGGCAAGGGCTGTGGATTGAAGCTCAAAGCCGCACAAAAGCAGCTCCAGCTGTTCCCAGACAAGAGCTGGCCTTCAGAGCCGCAGCAATACGGCTGCGTGACTCTTCCTTCTGCAGCAGCTCTGAGCTTGAGCTCTTCAGTTACACAGCACCTGGGTGTGCTGACTGCAGGTCTGGAGCTGTGCTCTTAGGTGGATGTGACCCATATTTGGAAGCACTGGTAGGACAGCAGACGCCGGAGAATCATTTTTTGAGTGCAGAGGATTTTAGAAGTTTCCCCTCCTGCTCCCCTTGCCCTCAAAATGCTTTTGTGCAGTGGATGTTGGAGTCTGAACATCTCTTCATGAGGAGCAGAGATTGTTTTTCTGTGATACCTGCTGTTTTCATACTACTAGACACAGAATTGACAAGGATTTCTGTTTTTTTGGTTTTTTTTTTTCGCCTCCAAGTTCCTTAAAATTTCTTTCTTTCCTCCTAATACCCATTTATCCATATTTCTGTTATGAGATAGATAGGAAAGAATCTTTAGTTCCAAAAAGTGAAGGAAAAAAAAAAAGTTACATACTGCTTTGTAACTGGAAACTGAGAAAGCAGAAAATAAGCAGATTGTCTGGCGCTCTTGAATATGCACTTGAGCCAGTGTGATAAGAAAGAGTTAAATTCCTGGTTTTCTAAACTTGCATTTACAAAAATTTGGCCTTAGGCAATTAGTTTCTCTGAAGAATGGTTTTGTTGATATGCTGCCATTCCTCTCCAGTATTTCAAAAGATTTTTACATTAATATTATATCTGCCCCACAGGTTATTCTGAGGAAAGGAAATTTACAGCTTTGGACAAAAACATTTCAATGGGTTTTGTCTGCCTGCTTTTCTTACGCCCCTCCCCTTCTGTAGAGAGAGGCTTAATCAAGTCATACCCATTTTGTGTCTCTCTGACAAGTGTGTTAAATGTGTATGTTCAAAGATGATCTTGAATACACACAGCTAGCTAATAAGAGCCAAAAATGTTCTTTCTTTTATAGGGCAGTTCAGAGAGCTAGCTTGTATCTGACAGCCCTGCAGACAGGCTTTTCCCCAGACTTCAGAGGCCAAAGACTTGACTAAATTCCACTTGAAGTTCCTTGTCTGTAGGGTCCAACAGGTGCAGCTACCTCCATCCATATGCGTCTCTGTTGCAGCTTGTCTCTGCCGTTCTAAGCAGCAATGGGAAATTGAAAGCTGAATTTGTGGAATGATTTTGCGCTGACTGTATGGAACCAGGAGTGCCAAGCCTGGCATTAAATTAATGATTTGACTTGTGAAATGAACGATCTTTCTTAAAACACAGTGTTGCCATTTAAGAGCACAAGCACCAGACTTCAATAGGTAGACCGTTATTGATAACTTATTCTCTGTGTTGATCAGTACTGCTTTTTTTACAAAGAATATACTGTAAAAATACTTTGGTGGAAAAATGAGGCGTACTTAGGATAATTATCTAAACATTTGTGTCAAACCAGTGATAACACAGATCTTTTGCTTTTCTCAGCAATGTACTTAAGCGGTGTACATTCAAAATAACTATTGTTTTTAGTTTAGCTACTGGGAAGTGATTTCCTTTGTTCTTTGTTATTTGATCTGAGGCAATTTTTCTACTGTTGTCAATGGACAGACTCACAGAGGTCTTGTTCAAAGAATTTGTATTTGTTCTTGGAAAGAAGTGGGACAACTGTTTTTCATCTTCTTTGTATTGATTCCTTTGATACTTAAATGGCTCTACTTTCATTGTATTAATATCAAAAGTAAGGAAAAACCTTTATGCATATGCTAATTTTACACTACTCCGTTATTAGCAGTTTTTGTACAGGAAGAATTTTCTCAGCTCGTGTGCTGGCTTTCAGTCGTATTTGGACTATAACAGGAAAATTCTCATCTCTTGCCTCCAGGGCAGAGCAAACATACATACTAACAGGATTAAGAGAGACTCAAGACTCAAGTAAAATCAGTTACGGTCTCAGAAGGTTGTTTTCAGCACACTAGAAGTAGAAAATGAGTCACATTAATCGTATCTTGTAAGGCTGAGAACTCAGTATATTTGATAAATTGAGATCTGCTTCCTCAGACAGTTGACTTAGAAAAATAAGAAAAAAAAACTTTTTTAAAACTGTAAAAACATCAGGAAATCAAACTGCTGTTTGATCAATCAACTGCCAAGAGCAAAAAAAAACAAAACAAAACAAAAACACAAAACATCTTTCTGACAAATTAAGCTTTCAATATTATGAAATCTTCAGAGTGAATATTGAATGTGAGAGAAAGTCTTGAGATGCATAGATTCATTGACCTCGTTAAGAGTTTTCAGTTAGAATGAAAGAAATACTTGGAGTGTATTTTTCTGTCCAAGACTGCTTTGCGTACTTAGTGGATTAAAATAGTAGCAAATTTTTCCCTGTCATTTTATTCTGGCTGTAAGATAGAAGTGAGTTGTTTCTTATCAGATAGATCATGTCTCTGTAATCTAAATGGTGTAGATATTTCAAATTCAGAGAGGACGAGGACACTGGCTTTGAGGTTGGTGAATATGTTTCTGATATGGCTCATAACTGTCAGTCTTTGCATCTGCTTTCTCTTGCTTTTATAGATCTCCAAGTTTGGAGTGAGCTATTAAAATATAATTCAGTGGGAATAAAGCTCAGTTTCTCATAATTTTGATCTGTAGATGTTTTAGGTGCAAAACACAGATTTCACATCCGTGCAATCTGGATAATAATCTTGCAACTTAATTCAGGAAATACTGGTAATACCAGGGCATTTATAGAAAGTTTGTCTCATCTTTATTTTTTGAAGGTAATATAAAAGCAATTGTCCTGAGATTTTTACTTTTATAGCTTGATATTAGTCACATCAAATGTGATTGGAGTGTTCTTCGAATTATATTACAAATCCATAGCTATTCTACTTCAGTCTTAATCAGCCATCTACACTTGGGGAACACTTGAGTTCTCTCTGCTATGGTTTTCAAATTTTACTTAAAAAAAAAAAAAAAAGCATCTTAACAAAGTATTATATTACTTTAGGTTTGTGAAATTAACATTAACAGTGGATACTAATCACCAAAGAAGCGATCAAAGGAAGTGTGATTTTTAAAAAACATTTAATTGATGCAAAAGTTGTGAAATACTTGAGTCCCCCTTAATCAGTATATTTTGAAATGCAATTCCTGTGTCAGTGGAGTTGAAGGTATTGGCAGTTATTCTTGTAAGTTTGAGGCCTGATTTAATTGTTACACTGCTATTTTTGCTGCACATGTAGAGTTTAAAGACCATAGTAAGTCTTTGAAAGTTTTATTTGTAGGAATTTTTTAAATTTTTTTTAAAGTTAGAAAATTGCTATTTTATTAATAGTAGAAGGAAAACCCTCGTAGGATCTAATCTCATTTACTACTAGGTAGTCTGGAGGGGTAGTAGGCCTGCAAGCAGCTCATGGAACTGCAAGAAGAAACGCCAAGTCCTGCTCATGTAAAGGAATAGCTACAGCAGGGATGCAGGCTGGGGATGAAGAGGCTGAAAGAGCAGCTCTGCAGAAAAGGCCCTGGGAGTGTGAGAAGGCAGCCAGGTGCCCAGCAGGGCTGTGCCTTCTCTGCTCTGGGAGATCCAGCTTTGAGCCAGAAGACAGACTTAAAGACCTTCTGAGGTCTACTTCAGCCTGAAGGATCATATCCTTCAGTGATTCCATGATTATTTATTTATTAAATTTTGCATTTTGATTTAGATTTAAAATTTATCTTAGCTCTTTAATTTGCATGTCTAAAATGTTACATGCTGTCCGTTCAGAAAGTTATGTAAATTCAACTAGCACTTACTGTGCCTGTGTTGTGTGTGTGTGTGTTGTTCCAAGCCTTTACAAGCTCACTTCTCATAAATAGTTGTATCAGAATCGTTTTTGCAACCCTCTGCTTACTACTACTTTCATTTGTGCTCCTTTCATGTATAAACTTGCCATGTGATTAATATGATTTTGTTTGTTTGTTTCAACAGAGGGAGAATATATCAAGATGTTCATGCGGGGTCGACCAATCACAATGTTCATTCCTTCTGATGTAGAAAACTATGATGATATTAGGACTGAGCTGCCTCCTGAAAAGTTAAAACTGGAGTGGGTGTATCCTTGATATCAGTAGCTATCTCTTGGTGGCTTGTTTGATTTTATTGTCTTGCCTTGTCTTTCTTCTTCATTATGTAGCCTTGTCTTCAATGGAGGAAGATATTTAAAAACAAACAAACAAAAAAGCAATAGCAAAACAGTTAAAGCAGTTTGTCAGTACTTCAGAATACATTTTTAAGTTGCAGAAACAGAAAACCTTTACTTTTTACTGTTGAAACCAAGTGCAGTTTATTTTTAGGAAGAATATTGCCTTTGGAGAACTCCTGAGTTTCAAAATTCCTCCCCTATATTCTCTATAAGATAGACTGTATTCAGGAACACAGTTATTTTTTATTTTGTGTACGTAACTGGAGATTTTAGATCTACAGAAGCTCTTGAATAAGATCCAAGATTTCTCATAGCCCCTGTCTATGGGAAATGATTGCAGTAGCCATCTGCCCAAATTTTTTTGCACTAATTTTGTTTCAACTCTGAATTGAAGGGATTCATTTACTGGGGAGAGCGGTGTACTTTATGTAAATAATTTTTTCTGAGGAGATGAGTAGCTATGTGGCTGACAACAATTCTTCAGGCTTAGTAAATCTGGAGCTCATAACAAATGCTTCTGCACACATTTGGGCCTTCTTTCATATCTTCCCATCTCTACAGAATCTTCTGATAAGGTTTGATTGTATAATTAAGCTTTTTAGTCCTTCTGTAAAAGAACATGTCTAGACAGCACTTGAGTTGATGTAATAATCTGAAGCTTGATCCTTCTGATCTTGCTGAAAGCAATAAGATTTTTAGAAATATTGATGATGCACTATCTTATGTCAGGAGATGTGTACAGAGAGGAGCTCTCTCAGCATATCCCATAGCAACTAAGACATGCATCTTTTTTAACTATTCTTTCTTAGTCATTTTAGTAAAGATGATTTCCCTATTATTTTCCTGCTTTTATTGGGGGAAGCTAATGATACTGGATACTCAGTTATGAAGAGCAATTGTGGAGTCCATTCAACTTTGCAGAAAGATTGTAAAAGCTTAGAACATAAAGGAGGAATTTAGGTTTACTAGTCTGATTAGAAAGAAAACTGAGCTCTTACTCAGTCTTTATGAAGCTGTGGTGCCCTGCCTTTCCTAGTGTCACCGCTCCTCGGTGCTGATGCTGGCACTAATATGACCATGGAATGAATTGAGTCAGTTGCTGATCTGGCTGAAATGCAATCTTTTTTGTGGAGTTAACTTTCAGCTGGATCAACTCATTAATTTGATTTGTTCCATAAACACACAAGGAGCACAACCAGCACACTGGAGGAAGATCCGACATACTTTTTCAGCAGCAGCAAGAAGTTTGGACTGATGAAAGCTGATCATGAAATCATACCATCAGCTAAGTATGTGCAAATCCCAGTGTGGAAATGCTTATTCAGTGTCCAAGGACCTCAATTTCAGGTTAAACCAGTTCTCTGCTGAGGGCTAATTAAAGTGAAATATATCTTGTGTAAACAAAATGCCCACGTGTTTTTACAGTCTGTTTAAGAAAATATAGTCCTAAATGAGACGGGTATGTTTCTGTTTGTAGAATATCTTTTAGATATGATGCTGAAGAAAACAATGAGGAGAAAGCTGGGAAGTTTTTTAAGCAATAATATTGATTTGTATGATGTTGAACAAAATTGGCATTCGGTTCTTGAGACACAAAGTTATAGCTGCAAATCTTGTAGTCATGCAAAGGCTGATACGTCTGCAAGCCAGCCATAAAATTCAAATATAATTGCAGACTGAAGCCTGTGAACTTGATGAACAATACATGGGACAGTGATTCACAGGGTATTTTAGTGATGCCAGTTTTTTGCAACTGAAACATTTGATTTGCAATCAAGTGTTCGATAGTTCAATCTGTATACTTTGTTTTAAACACCTTTTATTTCTCCAGCAGTTACCTTCTGGATGGTTGTTTACAATCATGCTTGCCTTTTATATTACCTTTCTGTAGCATGCCATTTACAGGCTAAATGATGAACTGTGAGAATAAACATCTTCCAGGCAAGAAGAGAGGGAAAAAGTTTTGAGGTAGGGTAGGGCTTTTGGTGTTTGCTTGTTGTTGTTTTGGGGAGTAGGAATATTTTCAACAAATGATTGCCAGAACTATAGGTTCAGTAGAAAACACCCTGCTGTTCTTTGCCCTGCCCTGTCACTTGGAAAAGAACTAAGTGACTTGGCAGGATAAAGTAGTTCATGGGGAAATCTGAGCTCTTGAGTGTGTCTGCTTCTTGAGTGATTTCATTTTAATTTAGTTTGGACATCCCTGCTTTATGATACAGTCTTGCTTCAATTCAGAATTGTTTAAGGAATCTCTGGAATTCCTAATAATAGGAGAATGGGCTGATATAGTAGCTGCTGAGATCACCATTAGTGTTACTAATGAGTGACAGTGACTTTTCAACTTCCTTCTCCCAGTGTAAAGTTACTCAGTTCCTGGAGGGAATTTCTGACTCCTTTTTGTAAGCTTATTTTTAGCACTGGTGCTTTTCTTTGTAAGAATAATTCAAGTCAGCAGTAACAATGCTATTAAATTCTATTGTTCAATGAGATCACTTCATGGTACCATGACTATTCTTATCCACTTCAAAACAAGCAAACAAAAAAACAATAAAATCTGTGTAGTACATCATTTTTTATGGCAAAACAGTTCTTGTGATTGGTGAGAAGCCTTCACAATATTAAGATGGTTATCTCTGAATTTCCCTGGTTGGAACATCAGCCTCACTGAAAGATAAACATTGAAATTTAGTATAAGTTAAGCATCAAATTTGTGGCTATTTTTGTTGTTTTTGTTTGTTTGTTTGTTTGTTTTCTGTAGAGAAAGGGCAATTATTATATTAATACACCTCTGCTACTTTGTTCTGAGAGTTTGGTGACAGGAAGACATTCTGTGGAGCAGCAACACTTCCTGTTTTGAGGAAAGTAAAAATTTCTCTCGCAAAACAGGTAATGGCTTTGCATGCCCTTAAAAATGCTGCCACTGTTTGGTACTGTAATTTGTACAGGGATTGAAGGAAAGGAATGGGCTGAGAAAACAATTTTTTTATTTTTACAGCCTTGGTGAATACTGAAGCTCAGTAGTGGATGCCAAAATATTTAGCCATAGCTTTGCATGTTAAACTGCTACAAAAGGATGAATGTTCAAAGATGTCAGTCTCAATAAATCCTTGCCATTGCAGTCCTTGCTATATTCAGGAGATGAACACAATCTGCCTTTCTTCTTTGAGATGGCATTTAGACTAGTGTTCTCTGTGTTTCTGTATAGAAATAATATTTTCATTGGCTTATAGCCCATCATTTCTGAAAGTTTACTTTGTTTTGTTTTGCTTTTGTAAAGGGCCATTCTAGAGTTTCTTTTTGTTCCACTGATGTTTAAATGTGGAAAAATTGGTGAGAAGTTAAATGGTGATAAAGAAGAATCAGAAGCATCCTTTCTTCTCATCTCACCATTCTGTTACATCAGTATTTCTCCTGATATCATTTGTTAAAGAAAACAGTGAATAATTTCATTTTCAGAGTCACTGTATTATTCTACTACATGGGAATCTGTTTCCATTTCCTTGATCTTAAGGCACTTAATTGAAGACTGAATGCATTATCCCTCTTCAAACCATGGTTTAGTTACAGTATTTAATGATTTTGTTTAATTTTGCAAGTGATATAGTGGCATAGTATTACTGTAGTTTAATAAGACTACATAAGAGGAAATAACTTTATTTGCTGGTAGCATGCAGGGGGTTTTTTGGGAGTGGAGGGTGACATCGAGAGGGGTGTGGTGGTATTTTTGGTAGAAAGGTAGCCCTTGTCTGAGAATAACAGAGGCCAGGCTGTCAAGTGGGGAGATATTAGTTTAGATGCTCCAAAATTTGGCCTACTGTGCCTGCTTTTAATAAGAGACGGCTAGCTTGAGCCATTCAAATTTCTCCATGTTGGTCTTTGACTTTGTCCTTTCTTTCTGATTATCCAAGAGCTTGGAATCCTTCAGCTAAAGTTGCATGTTTTTTCTTTCTTGTTGCAGATGTAGTTGGTGCTGAATTGGGAACCTCTGTCTTGTGTGTTGTGCAGGAGGACATAACAGGAAAGTTTGATGGTTTTTTGTTTGTTTTTTACAATTAAGGTCTCAGAGCTACTACTGCAGTCTGAGTGATGATTTTAATAGTACTTAATGACTGTGGGACTTGAAAAACAAGTAGACCACCACATTAATAGTCTAAATGGAGAAAGTTGCACCAGTTTCAAAGTAATAACAAGTTATAGTAAAATTTGATCGTGGCTAACCAAGTCTGGATTGTAGTGCTTAAAAACTCTGAATGTTGTAGAGGCAGGAAAGTAATGCAGGCTTTTTAGAAAAATCATCCGTTTTATGTATATTGGGTTGTTTAGGGTAGACTATTTTTTACTATCAGTTCCTTTCAAGATTTATTTGCTTGAAAAATACTCTAAAGCATTCTAAAACACTATTTCCTGAACTTGGCAGCTGCTGTGCCAAAGTTTGCATTTTTCTGAAGGAATTTTCACATGCTTGTTTTGAAAAGCCAAGCAGAGCCAACGTACTGGTCCCCAGCATGGAGGTGCCCAACTCTACTGCTGTTAAAGGTGTTAAGCTTGGATAGTGACATCCTGCTGCTACCTCATGAAAATTCACATTGAGAATTTCTGTAAGGTGACGCAGTTACATTTTGTTTTACCCCAGTGCCTTACATTTTCACATCAATGATTATCACTTTTTAATAGTGATCGCTTTTCTGAAGTCTTGATTCTTTTTAATATATTTTTTTATTTTAATATTTTTTTTTAATTTTAGTATATTTTTAAACTGTTACTAAAATTGTGCTGTAGTTTCAGAGGAAAACAAAAATGGCACTTTGTGACATAAGAGATCCCCAGGAAACATCCTTTCTACGGTTGTTGTTTCTTATTTTTATGTGATATACAATGATTATAAAACCTTGACTTAAAAAATATGCATATAGATATGGATACCGTGGAAGAGATTGTAGAGCCAATGTTTACCTCCTTCCTACCGGAGAAATTGTATATTTCATAGCATCAGTTGTGGTACTATTTAATTATGAAGAGAGAACTCAACGACACTACCTGGGTCATACAGACTGCGTTAAATGGTTAGTATAAAACATTTGTTTGTACGTGTGTCATAATTCAGTAAGGCGTTATTTTAATTCTTTTACTGTATCTGTGATCTCATTAATATCATCATAATTGTAGTTATTCTTTTGTTTCATTTGTCTCAGTAGATTTCACTGTAGTGAACACTATACAATTGAACAGAGCTAGAGTATTCCACACTAGCTTAGTGTTTCTGGCTTAAATTTAAAACCAGATATGTAGACAATCTAGAAGTGCCAGATTAGAGATAGAGTATCTGAATAAGTTGTTCTAAATACATACTCCAAGAATTATAAACTGGCATCAACCAAATTTTTAGATCAAGCAGCTAAAGGCAATATGGCAATTTGTAGACTTAAGGAGAATTAGAAAATCAAATGGAAGACAGATGATAATTTTCTCTTTTTTGAATAGTGCCCCATCCAAGTATTTAGACCATCTGAGGTAAGAGAAAGACACTTGCAAACAAAACATAAAAGCAGGAAAATTGAAGCCAATGTCGTTGTTGATGCAAATGTAGTTAGTTGGTCACTTCACAACATTAGTCTGAAAAGTAGTAGAGAGCTTTGATTTGAATGGTATATCCTTACTATACCTGAGAGGAAGAAAGGAGTTGCTGTCGAAACCTCTTTTCTTCTAGCCTGCTTTCATAACTGTAATTGCTTCCTGTGGGAAGAATGCCACCAGACTTGTGTTATTTACATTCTTTCAGAAACTTAGACTGAATTTTAAACATTTTGGTGTCTACCATCCTTACTTATTAATTCCCCCACCTACTGTTCCGTCTTGCCTGTTGTCTTAGTTTCCTCACCTTCATAATTTTAAAGAGGAAGCAAATGACAAGGCTAGTAAAAAAATAAGCAGGAGTAAGAGGATGTGGACTTGGAAATTATTGTATCTGTTTGTTTTTGTTTTGTTTTGTTTTTTTTTACATTACCTTCAAAGCAAAAGCAGATTTTGACTTACACTGAGAGTGTACCACATTGGAGATTTTCATTAGAGACAGTAGTCCTTAACTCCTGGGTGCATGTACCCTTGTCCATCCTCCTAGCTGTTTTTTGGATAGCACAAACCTGTGCTATCCGAAGCTTTGGCATATGAAGTATGCTGTAGTGCTTATAAAAATGGCAGGTAACTATATCTAGGAAGTTCAACATGAGACAATGTGTATTTTGTTACAGTAGACTCCCAGTATAGTGCAAAACTGAGATTTATTTCTCTGAGCACATGTGGAGGTGGCTCTTGTGGCACTCCTGGTTGTATGCCAGCAGCCATTACAAAAGCCTGATTAACACAAGATTTTGCAGTATTATATGTGACAAAATAGTCTGACAAAGAAAATTTTCAAGCTGTCTCATTAAAAGTGGGATCTAGGATCACAAATGACTTCATGGGCTTCTGTTGAAAAATAAAAATTAAAAAAAAAAAAAGAGAGAAAAAAAGAAAAAAACCTCTCAGTTCTGAAGGCTGATGACAGCAAAAGCAAGTCATATTTCTGTCTGTCTTAGTCTTGCAGTTCATCCAGACAAAATTAGAATTGCAACAGGACAGTTAGCTGGAGTGGATAAAGATGGAAGGGTAAGTAATAGAGCTGTTGAGCAGTAGTGTCTTGTTTTGAAAATCAGGGAAAATTGTTTTGTTTTTCTTTTTAATTTCATGATCACCTTCTGTTTGCAGTTTTTCTTATGCACTGCATTTAGTGAGATATTTTGCTATTTCCAAACTTAACAGTATATATTTCTAGTGATAGGTATTACCATATAGACACTCAGCCATACATCAAAAAGAGTAGAGGCTCATAGTATTCAATCTGTGACATGGAAAAATCATATTTAATCCTGCAAGCAACTGTGAGCCTTGTAATTGTTTTGTAAGGCTACATCACTTGTTACATCTCTTTCAATGACTCTTCTCCCAGAGGAAAATAAACCCCGATTCGGTGGGTCCATGTGCTCATAAGGCTTCATGGGAAGGGAAACCAACTTTGGGAATCTGTTGAAAGTGCGTCAAGCTTTGCTAGAAAGCTTGCTCAGTTAAGGACAAGCATAGTTAAAAGTTCTTGTCCGCGGTGAGCTAAGTTGAATAATGAGATTATCTTCACAAAGGTTATAAAGAAAATAACACAGATGCCTTGAAACATAGAAACACTTTAAGTACATCCCTTACTCAAATGTTCAACATCTTTTTTTTTTTTTTTTTTTTTGAGAAATCTCTGTGGGCATTGTATAGATATTGTTGTAATTTCCACTGAACTTTTGCTTAACTATGTGGTTTTTTCTGTTTTGGTTTGTCTTTTTTTTATGGTGAATGCTGTCCCTAAGCCAATTCCTACTTATTTTGTAGTTGTTTTGGATTTATGATGCTAACCTGTTTTGGGGTAGTAGTTAGATGAAATATACCTTTGGAGGTTTTCCTTGAGTGATTGGTTATAATTAGGTGACTCAGTACAACTAGGGTTGTGTTTTTCAATATTACTTTCTGCATACTTTTATGTTTTAAAAAATATGTTATAAAAAATATGTTTTCAGTTGTGCAAGCTGTTTAAGTCTGGGGTTTGAAATTCAAGACAGCTCTTCCATTATTTGTTCAATGTTCAAACTGCATTATGTTCACAAGTACCAAATGCCCACATGATATCTGTAGCTCCCACGCAGTGGGCAGAAGCTGTCTCAATTCTTGTCTCTTGAGGTTCAAGACACAGTCCAACAGCAGCATTGACACAACTCATTTCACCCCAGTTTGCTGCTTGGATAGCATGTCATAACCTGATGGCTTCATTGGATGCTTTTGCTGTCGATGACACTGTTTGTCCCATTGCTTTTGCACAGCCCTTGCAGCCCCATGTTAGAGTGTGGGACTCAGTGAGCCTGGTGACACTGCAGGTTATCGGCCTGGGGACTTTCGAGCGTGGAGTTGGGTGCTTGGATTTTTCAAAAGCGGTAAGACAGATGCTGCTATTGGGGTATATAACTGATTTGTCTGATCCTTCTGAATGTGACTGCCTTGCTGACCTGCTTTGGTATTAAAAGCGTGTTAGTAAAGTCTCAGTGTACTCTATAAAAACAGCTGACGAGCGAGGTGAAAAACAGAAATTGCAGTTGTACAGTTGTGGCAACAAACAAGCTCTGTGAATAAATAGAAGGCACAGAAATACCTTGGCTGGAAATTGAAACCTGTACTGGGCTTGGTGATGGGGTGGGACAAGACGGAGCTTTTATTTGTTTGGATGTTAAAAACAAGCATGTTACTGATCTTCATGGACATGTTTTAGTGGGCTCTGATGGAAAGGGTAGCTTGGCTGCTTGCACTGCTGTAATAGGATTTTATCCATGAACAGGAAATTAAAAAAAAATAAATAAATCAATTTGTTCTTCGTAATTTTACATAGAATAATACAAATCTTATGTGTTGTTACTGTGCCCACAAAATTTATCAGAATAGTAAGAAATGAAAATGTGTTGTGTTGTTTGTCACTGATAAAATTCTCATTTCCAATTTGCTGCTGAGGTTTTTTTTTCTGTGTACAATACATGTATTTTAATCTTTAAGCTGCCTTCGCTTTTTTACCAAATCACTAGGAGGTATCAACCTCCTGAAAATCCACGCTGCTATTCTTGCAGCAACAGAGAATTGTTGTTTAAAACAAAACAAACACACACACACGCACACACACAAAAAAAGACAAAAAAAAAAAAAAAAAAAAAAAAACACCATGAAAAAACCCAAACCCAGCGGTATTTTGCTTACACAGAATCACAGAACAGATTAAATGGTAAGAGACCTCTCCTGATTGCCTTATCCAGGGCAAGCTGTGTAGGACTGTGGAGGACCAGTTGAGTTTTGAGCATCTTCAGATACCTGTTGAAAAATAAATGCTTATGCTCTCTTGCTGCTATTTCTGAATATTTCTGAACATCAAAACATTGCTCAGTTAGTTATTCTTTGTCTGTTATGAAATATAAAAAAAAAAACAGCCTATTTTATAAGTAAGGTATAACATAAAATTATGTAAGAAGAAAACTGTAATTTCTAATTCCTATCACTGTAACAAACCAGGAGCCTTTTAACTTTAAGGCAAATAAATGCATGTGCCACCATTCAATTAAAAGAAGAAGAAAAATGAAAATAAAAATAAAAACCCAACAATCTAACGAATTTGGAATGTTAGCTTTCATTAAACTGAAAAAGTGAATGTGAAGTACCTAGAGCTCTGCTTTTATCACATAATCCCCCTAACCCACACAAAAGCAGTTGCCAATGCTCTCTCAAGGGTTTTTTCCACTTAACTGGAATGTGTTTGCGTAGTACTGCTCATGATAGCATTAGTATTGGGGAATAAAAATTTCAGCCACCTCTGTTTTATAATTTGTTAGAGAACATGGTCTGAACTGCACTAATGAACTTTAAAATAAACAAGGCATCCTCCAAATCTTTCTACACATGTGCTTGAAGCAGCTGGCTTGTGCAAGTATGAGCCGTTTCAGTTTTTATCTACAGTATTTAACACTGTAGATGTGACATTTTTCTGCTCCTGTAATCACCATTTTGTTTTGAAAGTGTTATCTTGCTTCATTCAGTTTTACCAACTACATAACGAAGCTGGTCAGTACTTAATGTCTGTGAGGAAAAAGATGAGGTGCTTTCTGAATGTTAATACTGCAAAGTTGTGTTTGTGATGGTCACCGTTAAGAAAGAAAACCACATTGGAACTGTGTGTTCTGAGACTTGAGAAAAAACAATCTATTTGCAGAATAGAAAAAGGGAGAAACATTTATGCTACTAGAATGATAATTAAATATATTTATTTAGAAAATTTAAAAAAAGAAGAACGGGGAGGGAAAGATTTGGCAAGATACTCTAAAGCTTTCCTAGAATGTATTTTGAAACATGTTGATTTGTTGTGAGATTATGGAAAAATATTTCTTACCTGTAAGCAAAAAGGAGATACCAGATACACTATCATATAATTCCTTACAAAGGGCTTGCTTGATTTATATTTCTACTCCTGTGGTTTTTAAATGTTACTGCTATGCCTTGTTTCTGAATATGGTTTGATAATTCTTTGCCGTTTTCTTTTAGGATTCTGGTACTCATTTGTGTGTAATTGATGACTCTAATGAACATATGCTCACTGTATGGGATTGGCTGAAAAAATCAAAAGTAGCAGAAATAAAGGTAAATATAACACAGATGCCTATTCTGAAGTACAAATGCTTTTATTCTCAAAAATACAATAATTTTGTGAGACACAAATTTGATCTTAATTAGAATACTGCTGGGTTTTATAAGGGCACAAAAGAAATGTGTTCTTAACTTGTACATTGGAAAAGTTTTGAATATTGGAACACATAATTAAATTTTACTCTTATCCAAGGGCTAATCTAAATAAAGCACTCCTCTAGTCTTTTCTTAATTAAAAAGTAATAATAGTTCCTGGGAACTTTGAAGGACCTGAAGTGATGATTCTGTGTATAATTCTTTATATTAAAATATATGTATATTTTATTTTCATTTTTCTCTGAATTAGGTTGCAGACATAGATTTGTTGGGTAGATACACTTCTGTAGATTGCAATTTGTTCTGCTTTCCTGATTCCCTTGCTGAATTTCTGGTTGATGAGAAGTTTTGGTGTGAAGCTAATTCCACTGGCAACACCCAATCCAGTAACAACTTGCTGCAGAACTCCCAGTTTTAAGACATCTTGCTTGCAACAAGCAAACAGATAAATATAGATGTGGAACTGAGTTTTGGTTTGTTTTTTTAAAATTTATTTTAGTCATGAATCAGTGTGTGAAATACTCTATAAGCAAACATTTCTATGTGATTACAAACCTGCAAATTCAAAAATCAGGTCTTGGGGTTCCATTTTCCCTAAATCATGTGTACCGATAGTAACTATGCACTGTTCTATAAGAGTTAATGTAATTAAACGTCAGCTTTTGTTTTTATTTTAATTCCTTGCAGATATTAAATATCCAGCTATTAGGCACATTCTGTAGATTTCCTTTCCCATTTTATTGATATTGCGTTCTGACTACTTTTACCTTTACCCTTCAGTCCTTAGTGCTTCAGAACTGGCTAGCAAACAAATCAGCCATGACAGCTTCAGTTATTCATGTTTAGGACTTTATCTTAGAATATCTTGAGCACCTCACCAACAGCTGGGTTCAGTGTGAGCAGAGAGTTTCCTCCCTTGAGCTAAATGCATTCATAAACAACAAATTAAATTTAAGAAGATTGTTCTCCTCAGGTGAGCCAAAAATATTGGAGTGGGATGAGGCCAAGCTACAGTTCTTGCCTGGGTGCTGACTCAGCAACACTTAAGTATACTCTTTTAAGGCATGTGCTTAAATACCATAGAAGTAAAAGGGCATAAATGAATTTATGTAAGTGTTATGCAGAATGATTGCCTCCAGAAAATTACCTCAAATTAAGGTTTGTAGAGTTTACTTTATAAGTCAGAAAAATGACCAGTCAGTTTGTTTGTAAAATTCATTGGTAGGGATATAATATTCGCTGAGGTGTTAATTATTCAGTAGAAGTATATGCGACCAGTAAAACTACAAAGGATGTACAGTATGTTTCAGAGCTTTGAATTGAGCAGGCTTCTTTTTGACTCTCTTTTATGGAGAGAGAAAGAATGCAGAGGAATTTTTATAGAATTTCAGAAAGAGAATAATGTATATAATCCTGGTATGCTACGGTTGCCTGAGTTATTTTTATCACGGTTTTGTTACTCAGAAAAGTCTGTGCAGAAACTAAAACGTGTTTTTGTATTTCACTCAGTTCCCGTGGCAAAATTCTTAGCTATGCTAAAAAGCAAAGTTCTTCTGATTTGGAAAGTGAATATAAAGCACAGACTTTTTTACTGAGATTTGATTTTAAAAAACAACAAGCTAAAAAACAAGTATGAAGAGATGATACGAAAAGGATTTGTGCAGTCATTCAGCCAACCAGTTTAGGAGGGAATTTACAGATTCATTCATATATAGAACAACCTGTGTAGCTCCTCCTATCTATGTTCTGAAACCTAGGATTTTATATGAGTTTCTAGTAAAAGTAGAATAGAACATCTGAATAAATATTATTTGGTTTATTTCAGACTACAAATGAAGTTGTGCTCGCTGTAGAATTCCATCCAACTGATGCAAATACCATAATAACATGTGGCAAATCTCATATATTTTTTTGGACTTGGAGTGGCAATTCGTTATCAAGGAAGCAAGGGATATTTGGGGTAAGAATGTCTTGATATCAGGTCAGTTTAAAATCAATAGAATCGTCTGCTCATGCTTTCTTCAAATTTGTTTTGTTGTCACCTCAGCAGAGTGGTAAACAAACAACAAAAAGGTTTAATTCTATTTATGTATATTCAGGATTGTATGGGTGTGGATACATTATTCTAAGTATGTAGAGTACAAGCAATTATCCCTTTCTCTTGCTTATTTTGTTTCAGAAATATGAAAAGCCCAAATTTGTTCAGTGTTTGGCTTTTTTGGGAAATGGTGATGTGCTCACTGGAGACTCAGGTGGGATAATACTTATATGGGGCAAAACTACTGTAGAATCTACTCCAGGAAAAGGACCTAAAGGTAGGATACGTTCACAGTTAATCACAGATTAGACAGTCTGTAGAAGACAAATATAAAGAATTGTATTAGAAACAAAATAGGAAGAAAAACCTGGCTATTAGTAACAAGTGATGCTGAACTCCACGTCTCATGAATTTGATGACTTAATAACAATCTGGAGTTCCTCTTTGCCCAAAGTGAAAGAAAACTAAACTTTATCTAAATGTTTTCCATTTTACAACTGTGTAGTTAATCATATTTCCTTTCATCCTGTGGTCTGAATGAGGCCATGGATTCGGTTTGAGGATTCTGCAGGCTGCATTTGTTTCTTAAGACTTATGTTATATCATACTTAGTCCAGGGGATACTGTTAACAGGACTTGTGTATGAAGGGAAAATGTAATCCAGCAGTTATGCAAATAGGAGTGTCTGATTAAGACAGCACTCAAGTCTTGGATGTAAAGGATAGTTTTAAATCCATCTTATTTGAAACATGGGTTAAAGTTACTCTTTAAGACAAAAGTTTTGTAGAAAAGAAAGAAAAAGTATTTGTTATCCAACATATGCAGACCTGGAACAGTTGAGCCCTAAGGTAACTTATAAATTCAAAGATAATTCATTTTACTTGGCAGCTATTTCAAACACTCTGATTTAAATTCGTATGCCAGGAAAACATTCATGTAGAAAGCAAATATTTAAAGGTAAGTCTGCTTCTGTAGGTAGACCTTTTCTTGTCTTTCAACCAAACTGCAATGGAAAAGTAATTTAACAAGTTATCTGATGTTTAATTTTGAGGTTCATTTTGTGCAAAATAACATTTTCCATATATAATCCAAAAAGTTATTAAATACAACATTTATTTATATCAGTTTAATCGAGTATGAGATATTTTAGTTAGTTCATCACATTAAATTGGTAACCAGACTTGATCTCAAATGCTTTTTCACAGCATAAGAGCATGCTGACTTGAACAGACTTCAGCTGTAGCCAGTCAGATGAATTATGTTGGCATTTATGTGGGTGATGTTTCAGGGTTTCTGTGTTTACTACTTGCATATGTGCAAATCTTCAAAGCCCCAAAATCTTCCCTTGTTAAGATATACTTTCCTACAGCAGTTCTTTTCAAATAAACACCCAATGAGAATGCAAGAGATTTCCTTTAATGCTGTTTTTCATTTAATTTTTCCATTCCTCTTGTTCTTTCTAGTGTTTTACTCTGAGTAGACTACTATATTGATAGTTGCCAAATGCTAGTTTACTATTTTTAAGTAAGGCAACATCAAGCATCAGATATTAGGATCACACATCCTGGAAACTTTGCTATAAATAATTTGCTTTTTTTCCTCATTTTCATTCCCACAAGACTGTAAACAAGTCTTTGAGTTTCTTTTAATAAAATAATTCTTTGCTAATAATTGCACTGCAAATATTTTTCAATACTTTGGGAGTTTTTCTTGCATCAGGAAAAACTGTGTTCCCTAGGATAGCGGGAAATTTAGAGTATTTAGCAAATAATTATGCTTGTCTTCACAAGTTTTAGAGCAATTACAAAACATTTCTCTTCAGAAAGACACGCCTTTTATTTCATCTTCTTATCCTGTAAGAAAACACTACCACCTTGTGTTTGCAGTACGATGCAGTGCTAATAGCCTGACAATCCAAATGCAATTATTGATTGCGCACTGTTGCTTTACTCTTAAGCCAAAATGCAGTTTCTTGTAATCCTCAGTTGACAAAACGAGTGGTGTTTTGTATTATTTTCTTTTTGTGCATGTAGGAGTATATCAGATAAGCAGACAAATCAAAGCTCACGATGGCAGTGTATTTACCCTCTGTCAAATGAGGAATGGGATGCTGCTAACAGGAGGTGGGAAAGACCGAAAGATCATTCTGTGGGATCATGACTTGAATCCCGAAAGGGAAATTGAGGTAAGAAGGCAAGAGTGACAAGGAAGTTGTATTAACAAGGTATGATCAGCAATCCTGAGCATTCCCCTATTCCTTTGAGTATCCGCAGTTAGGATGACAGCATACCTTCTGGTTGCTATCTTTTTAAGTGGAAGATTATGTTTTGTAATAAAAAGCATATCAATTTTCAGCCTAGAAATTAGCCCACAAGAGCTATATCTTCAGCTCTTCCATTGTTTCTTTTGTTCATCCTATTTTTGAGTATTTGCTTTAGTATTGCCTGTGTTTTTCTAAAGTTTGCCTGTCTGGATAAAGGCAGTGTTATCAGGATTTGAGTTCTTTGTTGAGCTTTTTACATTAGAAGAATAATGAGTAGGATAAGTATGGATACTCTGCAGAAATTAGTTGTGTTGAGGAACTTCTCTTGACTTCATCTAAAAAACAGATCTTTATTGAAAATGTCTGCCTGTAATTTGTATGGCAGTGATAAGGATAAACTGGAAAAAAATGTACATCACGGATTAAAAAATAGTGTTTTTTTTTCCTTACAATAGATGACCTCTTGAAGTAGTTTATTCTCAGTTTTTCTAGCAGTGATTTACTCAACATAACTAGTGTCTATTTATAGCAAGATTCTGATGGAACTATACATGAATGTTAAGGAAAAGAGTTTGTTACTGTCCCAACTCCACTATTGACCGTTAGAAAACATGTCTGAGTGTAATTGTTGAGTTATCCTGTTCAACCATTAGACTTAAACAAAGCACTATTCATATCAATCTTTGTTTTCTTTTTGTTAATATATTAAGTTAAAGCTTTTTTTTTTTTTTTTTTGACAAATATAACCAGAACCCTATCACACAGCTTTCTGAACAATTGTAATGATTTTTTATCCTATGAGGCTAGTATTAAAGTAAGCATGTTTTCTAAAGCAAACCCATTTAGGAAGAAAAAAAAACACACAAAAAACAACCCACAAATGCCCACTGTAAAATAAAGCACTGAGAGTTCAAGGTTGCAATAAACAAGCTCAGTAAAACATGGAGTCATTGCTGACGTATGGCATATGAATGGTTACGTAAGGTTAATCAGGAAACGTTAAGAATCAGGAAACATTTACTGTGGGCTACAAGATTCTTCTTAATTTTCAAAATGTGTTTTTGAAAAGAAGACAGTGACTATAAATATTGTTCCCATCCTTATGAGTTATAAGAATGTAGAGTACATTTATTTGGTGTACCTGATGCTTAAAAATCAGTGCAACTTCAGGTGTTTTTTTTTTCTACTGAGACCTATTAAATTGGAATAATTCCAGTTGTTTTGGAGTGAGGTCCTGTTGTATCTAATGAACAGACAAATGAGGTAAGTTTGAGGTCAAGTCCTTGCCTAGTGCATGTGTGATTAGATTTTTCCTTCTTACTAGGAGAATTGCTGTTCCGGTACCATTGTGCATTATTTATGGCCTTCAGAAGTAAGTGCGCATGAAGATATGTGATGTGGCTTTACAAATGTTTCTCTTGCTAGGTTCCTGATCAGTATGGAACAATAAGAGCAGTAGCAGAAGGAAAAGCAGATCAATTTTTAGTGGGTACTTCACGAAACTTTGTTTTACGTGGAACATTTAATGATGGTTTCCTAGTAGAAGTACAGGTGAGCAAAATGATTTCTTGAATTATTACCCTAAAATTGTAAAAGTTTCCCTGATTGTACGTTGATCTGAGACTTTTTATTTTATACTTTATCAAATTAAATGTGTTCTTTCTAGGGACATACAGATGAACTCTGGGGACTGGCATCACATCCTTTCAAAGACTTATTTTTAACTTGTGCTCAAGATAGGCAAGTTTGTATGTGGAACTCTGTGGACCACACACTGGAATGGACCAGGCTGCTAGATGTATGTCAACCCTTCAACATTAAATATAAAGCTGGAAAAAAAACAAAAGGCATTCATTTTCTGAAACATCTTGTCCCGTGTGATTGAAAGAAGCAAAAATCTTGTAACTGAGGCACTGAAGAGCCATTCAGAAGCTTTTGATAAGCTTGACAAGGTTCTTCAGATGTTGTATATGCTGTAATCTGGTTAGTGTTGTCCAAAGCCATTCTAGTGATTTCATTCCAGATCAGAATGAAACTCCAAGTGCTTTCTGCTTGTTGCAGTTCAATTGGGAAGTTTTCTTCCCAATTATTCAAACCATCTACAAAGACTACAGTGCAGATGTAAAAGGTTTGGCTTTAGAAGTTCATCCTTACAGTCATTGTTCAGATCATATTTTGATTAATTCTGTCCTACTATCTAGGTGAAAGCATCTTTTTATTAAGAAGTTTAGCTTTTTACTTGTGAGAAGGTCATGTAGTATATCAATGATCCATTAAAAGAAAGTCTGTCTGTCAAGTAGTTTTTCACTCTGTCAGATCATCTTTGATTTTTAAGGCTTTTTTGGAGTACAGAGCAGGTGGGCAAATGACATGTCTGTGCCTCCCTACTTAGGAACCGGGCCACTGTGCCGACTTCCATCCCAGCGGAGCGGTGGTTGCAATAGGAACGCATTCAGGACGGTAAGCAGGCACTGGCTGAGTTGTGATGATCAGAAGTTTAAAGGAGATTTACAAGAGTTGTAGTATCAAACCATCAGAATACATGTATTTTTTGATTTTTATTCTTCTGCATGGATTTAACTACTCTAAAAAGATGGGAGATGAGGCAGATCTTTTGTAAAGGATGCAGGTGAGAAAGAAGGATTATTTGAATGTTAGGCAGTTGTTTCTTCTTTTGTATTTTTTGAACTACTTTTCCATGAAAGACCCACCTCTTGTTTGGTTTTATTGTTTTGGTTGGGGTTTTTTGTGGGTTTTTTTTTTGGTGCTGGGAGGGTTTCATGAGCTTTCTGACTTCATGAAACACCATATATATTTTAATTGTATATGTAACATCAGTTGGTAAGTACAGATCGTTTCTCCTTTCCAAATCAAACACATTTGCAACCTCTTAGATTGACCTGGAGTGTCAAATGCTTGTATTCTGATTTTTTTGTGTAAGGCAAATGTTAGCATTGCACATTTCTGCAGTGAAGTGCTGTTGAGCTGTTCATATTCATCCCAAAACCGTTGCTTATTTCAACGCTGTCAAAACACAAGCCAGGACCTTTAACTCAGGCATCTTTTTGTGGTGGAAAAAAATTGTCTCAATTCATATCCAAATTCTCTTTGGCTCAGTATCATCTCCCTTGAATGGAGTCCAATGTGGTGGAGTTCTAGCAAGTATCAACCAAGAGAAAAAAACAGGATATTCATAGCATTAGAAAGGTTAGAGGAGCAGCTAGGAAATCTACTGACATTTTTGTTCTATTTCTTACTCATATGTTAGTAAAGCAACACATGTAAGAAAATTTTTTTTTTGTTTAATCTGCCTCCTGTAATTTTTTTTTTATACTTAACAACATGCCTGAAAGCCATTTAAAATTTGGTTTGAAAAACTGCTGAGCATATGCAACAACCTTTAACTTTCCTGGGAAAATCTGCATGTTAAATATTTTTCAATGTGGTCCTTATGCAAGTTGATGATACAATCTGCAGTAAATGCATTAGGTACAAAATCAGACTAGGAAATCTAGTGTACCTTCCTAAGAAAAATCTTATTTAGTTCTTGTACGTTTGATTTCCATGCTGTGCCTTTCAATGTTTTCATCTCTTTCTAATTATAGCATTAAACTGATTAAGTGTTTCAACTTTCATTAAACAGAGCAGAAGGTATTGGAATAATAAAACTTAAGGAAAAAGAAAATCAAGCCACATTGCTTGGTAGCTACCAGGCATTTTAGAAATTACATCAAAGCCCAGTCAAGGCAGATAGAGCAGTTCAGAGCATTCAGTCTGGTGTTTTTGCTCTTGGCTGCTTTTATTGTGTTGGTTTTTTTTGGTTTGTTTTTTTTTTTCCCCGCAGCATTTAACATCACCTTTTCAATTCAGCGCTTTTCAGTTTAAATTCATGTTATTTAAATTACTGGAGACAACCCACTTATACTGTATTGGTTAAGTTTATGTAGATGGCTTTGGTTTTTTGGGGGGAGTTTTTTGATTGGTTGGTTGTTAGTGTTTTCATTTTTGTTTTGTTTTTTTTACTAAGTTCCATCAACTAAGTAAACAACTTTGTTTACTAAGTTCTTACAATTAAGCAGTTACATTTTTGCTTTTCTATTTCTTTTGTTCTGAAATTACATGATTAGGGATAGGTTAGAAACACAAATTAAACTGAAATGAAGTGGGGGCCTGGTAAGTGTACAAGTGGATGAGAAATAGAGAGAGTTGTGAATCAAGATAAACAAAACAGCTTAAGATTTACAGACTAACCGTGGCATCACACGGTCCTTTCTGTGCCAGATAATGCAGTCTAGAGGAGTCATTTCCCAGAGGAATGGGGTTGCATGATAGATTTTGATTTGTAAAAGAGGAGAGTCAGGCCTATAACTAGTCATTTAATAACTTACTAAATTTGCAACCCAAAAGGCATAAAGCAAATGTTAAACGAGTCTAATTTGTTTACGATTCAATAAACCCAAACTTTGGTGTATTATTGCAGCTCTAGTTCTGCTTTGTTTCTAGTACAGAGTTCAGTGAGGCAAGGATTAGGAATGGAGCACTGACAAGGTTGAGTTTTATGGCTGAACTTGTGATATCTGAAGAAAACTGAATTTTCTGTCTCTTCCCATTCTTGTCTGTAGTTTCACGACATTGTTATCAGATGAACACATCATGTTTCTGGAGTAGCTTTCACATACCACTTCTCATGATGAGTATTTCAGTATCATTTTCCCTGTTGGGACTATCTGCAAATGATCTGCTGCAGGTTTTGTTCCCTTCTTTAAATACCTGCTGAATGTTTGGTCTTCAGTTGTCAGTGACTAAGCCTGGTTTGGAGAGAACTAATATCATTTTGTTGATGCCGCTGTTTGCTGGAAGTGCAGAGCTGAAGAAGCCAAAAGGTCTGGCAATGGAAAATCTTTCCAGAAAAGTGAGTTTTTTCCAAAGCACCATACGGATAATTTTGCCATGCTGTCAGTGGTACCATTTTCAGGAAAGCAGACCTTCTTGTGACTAATAATGTAGAATATTTTGAGGGCTATTGATACAACTACTCAAAAGCACTACAGAAGAAATAGACTAGCAAGATTAATGTAAAAATTACTAACATTATTAAGAAAACTGAAGGCTGGAGGTCAAGGCCGGAACAAGCCAGAGCTCCAAAGAGGTAGATCAGTCAAACACAGACCAGTTCAGCATTTGTTGTGGAATGAAGCCTAGATGTCCCTGTGAACATAGTCATGAGATTGGTTTGTTGATTTTTACGGTCAACACGCTGAACACTTTTCAGATTTAACATTCATTTTTATTTTTGTGGCAATTTCAAGCACTGGTGCAAAAATATAATTTTGGAATACTGTTTCCCTGGTGATTTTATCAGAAAAATTGTGTGTTCACAGATGAAAATTGCCACTGGTAAATGTTAGTGAGTCATTAAAAGTCACTTCCCAAAAGAGTTGTCTATAGGGATTTTGTTTCTAAATAAATAATCTATTTTTCAGATAGGTTGTCTATTAAAATAAGAAGGCAAACAAAGGAATAGGGTGACAAAAAACAGATGAAAATAATGATAACTCAGTCTTGTTTATGTTAATTCACAAGTCAAGCATGTTGCTTGCAATAACAATGGAACAAAAATGGATACAAATCAGAAGGAGAACTACTATCTTGCAGCATTATTTCATCTGATCTGTGTATCTAAAGTCAGGAGAGTTCACTTGGCAGCTAGATGCAGCATTTCCAGGGTCTGCTACCATTTGCATGTTGTATACTTCTGTGTTGGGAGGAAGATCTTCTCTCAAAATGCAGTCTGAAGGTGGACCGAGCTGTGGATGATATGTGGCATGTATGAGGCATGCCAATAAAATATTGTAGCTGCTAAACTACTTTTCATGGAAACATGTTTTCTTGCTGGCTTATTGCTAGGCTTGCCACGGCTTTGGGAGAGCTTGGGTGATTGAAGGGAACACGTTTGATTCCAGATTGCAGAGGTAGAAAGAAACAGCTGAATTAGATGTGACCAGCACTTACTTTCCTACATTAACATCAGAATGTCATGGTGCTGTTTCCATGGCTGACTGTTTCCATGGTCTGCTATTAACATCTTTTGTTCAGGAAAAACTTTAGAGAAAGACTAGTGTCTCAAAATGCTATATTTTAATGTGCAGTGAAACTCAGTGTGCACGCTTAAGACTTGCAGAAGTTTTGTCTTGTGTTTCATACTACCCAATACAACTTCTGTGCTTTCTGTACGTTGCATGTTTTTCCAACCCTTGAAAATATTTCATGTTCCAGAAGAAACATTGACAGGAAGGTTACCAACTTCAGGTAAGAACCTCAGGGGAGCTCCCTAAAGAGCCAGCCTCAATGTCAGAATGAGCCATGTCCCTAATGCAGGAGCACTACTGTCTTCATTGGATATTTTGGGATGCAGCTGGCCAGCAGAAGCACTGCACAGCATGGCATGGGAAAGGGCACCCAGCTGTTGTATGAAAGATGGAAGCTTTTGCTTATTGTTGGGTTCATAATTAGGTTTTAATACCAGACACCATGACTGCTGCTCGGAAGAAATAAATAGGCATCATTTTCTGGCATCTTACCAGATAGACAGATTTTTACCATATAGCATCAAAGTTTTCTGGTAGAGGAAGAGGTCTTCCTGCCTCCTGTTTTCCTGCCCATACACAAAAGATGTAGAGCAGTAAGGAGCCTGGACACTGTGCTCAGTGCAGGGAAAAAAAAAAGCCAGAGTGGGGCAATGGTGCAGTGGCTTCAGACCAGCTTCTGGTGTTGCTTGAAAAACAGATGCTGGCAAGTCAGTGATGTCGCCATGTGTGTTTTTATCTGTTCTGTGATCCTGTGTAATTGTAAAGTAGTTTTGCTATTGCAGCAAAATTTTTGTTATAATTTTTTAATCAAAGTAATCTTTATGGTATAAGTACACTCTCTTGTTCTCTTTTTCCCCATACCAAATTTGTTTATTTGTTTTTATTGTTTATTAAATTTGTTTTTCATTATCTGTACCCTATCTCAGTTATCAGTCAGGTATAAAAAAAAATAACATTTTACTGAAATATTTGACAGGGACAAAAGGGCAGTGTTTGAACTGAATAGCAACTTGATACTTCTGTTGCATTTAGATAACTTGGAAAGCTTCAGTATATAGACTGGAAGAAATCAAGAAACTACATTTTGGCTTGCAGTACTGAGAAGCACTGAGTGTGGTTTCTGCTGCTGTCCATTGAGAACATACGAGCTGTTTTCTACTGGTTCCATCTGCATTGCACACAGACTGCTCAGCAGTCTGTGCCATGTGGGGCTTTTTTTCATGTACGTGTTGTTCAATTTCTTTCTGTCACGTGGTTCTCTAACCACAAGCTGTTTTTAAACCATCAGAACCAGGCAGCTTTCCAGATGCCAAGCAGCTGGACTCTGGATCAGCATGAGCTGGAACCTCACCTCCATCCATAGAAAGCAGCCATGTGTGCATCTGTTAGTCAGGGCTTATTTTAGGCTGTATATGTTGGTTTTCAAGTAGACAGTCCTAGTTTTTGTAGTATGCTTGCTCCCTTGAGTTTGCTGTCATACCCACACTCTGAGCTTGCTGTTTGATGCTGGTTACATAAACTTAGCCATCTTGTGAACAGTGCTGAGATTTTCTAAACACAGAAATTATATTGTGTTAACATCTTTTATCTATTTAACGATGTTGTCATCTTCTGTTTTCATGACATGCATGTGTGCATGTGTATATAAGTATATTTAACTTTTGTTGTCTTTCTCTAGCAAATATTTGCTGCTGTTATTAGGAGCTAGATAATGTCGTGAAAGGCTCTGGTTCTGCTGATCTTATTCATTTTGCTGTCAGTGGTTTTTGGGCATCTATGAACTTTTTCGATGTTCCGTACAACTAATACTGCAGTACAGAAGTTACTGTTAAATAACAAACAATACCAATAAGAATAGGTGTCATGTACGGGATGAAAGTGGAAGTGTTTTCCAGTCTCTCCTCATTCTACTATGTTTGTTGTTGTTTTTCACCTTTGCTTCATACAAATTGAAGGGTCAGATTTTATATCCAAGACATTCTTCAAAATGGAGTATTAGTGGTAGATTCAAAATTCAGCTGTTGCTTCAAGGTGTTAAGATGCCAACACATTTTCTATACGGTGGCATGTTTATTGGCCAGCAGACATTTTGGTGATTACTGAAATGTTTAAGGGAGGGAAAAAGAAATTCAGCTGCATTTAAAATGTTATATATTTTTCAGTGAAAATTGTTCTGTGAACCAGAAAAGCATTCTATTAAAAACAGATGTTTGTTGTGCTGCCCTTGAGGGCTAGCATGACAAGATGAAGCAAGGCAATGTTATTGTTCTTTTGCTTGCTGCTTTTTTTGTTGTTGTTCTTTTTTTTTTCTTAGTGGACATGATACTCACTGGATTCCTTCTCTCTCTAGGTGGTTTGTTCTGGATGCAGAAACAAGGGATCTGGTCTCAATACACACTGATGGCAATGAGCAGCTCTCAGTGATGCGCTATTCAGTAGGTAGGGAGACTTGTGCATTCAGAATAATTGTGTGATTAGTTTCTGATAAATGGGATGTTTGTTCCCTTAAGCTGTGTTCAACTACTCTCCAGTCACTGAAAAAGACAGAGCTTTGAAAAAAAAAAACCTGCATTAGGATGCTTAATACCTGAATAATAATCACAATAATACATGACTAATAATATCTGTATATTTGATTTTGTGTTTGTTTTTTGTATACTAAATCTCAGAGCTTTGCACCTGCAGACATTGCAGTCTCCCAGCAATTCTTTCAAGTTCATCTATTCTGTCAGCTTTGTTCCCAGAGAAATTAAGAATTTTCATTTAAAATTGTTGGCATGTTAACAGAAGAGAAAAAGCTACATATCAGCATTCTACTATTCTACAGTCTACTCAGGCTGTAAATAGCTTGGAATTTAAATAATATTTTAATAACCTTCTTAGTTAATTTTTCAAGTTTAGTAATACAAAGCCATAAAACTACGTTTAGGTCTGTCTGAAACTCAGAGCTGTTTGTTAAATATGTACTACGTGATTACACGTACTCCAAAACAGTACTCTTCCCTTGGAGGTGGCATGACAGATCAGCAGAGGAATTCTCTGTTAAAACTGAGTAGAAGAAGAATCTCATAAATCTGCTTCTTGTTTGCTTTTGGATAATATGCAGTGTCAGTGAGTAAAATGCTCCTTTGCTGCTGCCACTTCTGCCAAGCACAGTAATTTATTTCAAATCACTGTTGTTCATCGACACTACAGAGGTATTTAATTGTGACTCAAAACAATCTTGACTATATTAACCTTTTTTTTTTTTCAAATGGAGATAATACTGGTTAAAAAACTACTTACACTGACTGAATGATCCGCTTGCTATTTAGATCTTATTTAGTGCTGATTTATGTGCAATCCGCTTCCCCCTCCCACAGGAAAAAAATCCTATAAATTTGAAATAAATACTGTTCTGCATTTTTAGTAATACAGAAAACTGACCTGCTGTCAACAATTTCCATAAATGTAGTGCAGTCTGAGGATTTGTACTTATTTGTACTTTATCCATTGGACTTTAATTTAAAAGAGCAGAGGTGAAAGATTTTGCCCAAAAAACATACTCTCGAAATAAAAGTGTACTGATTGAAAACCAATATAAAGAAAACAGTTATGTAACCTTAAATATCAAGGAATAGCTTAATTGAGACAATTGTCTTAGTGATAAATCTGAAATCATTAAAATTTGAAAAACAAAAGTTCTGTTAGTTTCTATTAAATATTTTAATTTTCTGTTGTAGATGGCACCTTACTTGCAGTTGGGTCCCATGACAACTTTATTTACCTCTACATAGTAACAGAAAATGGAAGAAAGTATAGCAGACATGGAAAATGCACTGTAAGTTTTGGGGCAAATATAATCAGTTCTTTTTGTATTTCGATGTGATAGTAGTTGTTAAGCAGTGGAACAGAAAGAAAATCTCTAGATTGATGTTTTTCTACTTTTAATTTTGATTATCATTTTTATGTCTTTTTTAGCACTTAGTTAATTTTAAACTTCATTTAATATGTACTGCAACTGTTAGTTTTCAGGTGAACAACTTTGCATCAAATATGAACAGTTTTTCAGCTATTAACTGTTCTTTGAAATAGGAAAATAACAGTAAGATGCAGAAATGTCATTTATTTAGATGCTGAAAGTCTTTCTGGGAAAACACTGCACTTCTTTTGAATTGTTTTTTCAAAGAATCATAGAATGACTTGGGTTGGAAGGGACTTTAAAGACCATTTAGTTCCAACCCATGTGCCCCGGGTAGAGACACTTCCCACTAGATCAGATTGCTCAAAGCCCCGAGCAATGTGACCTTTGTGGGGTCAGAGATGGGACATCCACAGCATCTCTGGGTAATCTGTTCCAGTGCCTCACTACCTTCTGAGTAAACATTTCTTTCTAATATCTAATCTAAACCTTCCCTCTTTTAGTTTACTGCCATTACCCATTGTAATCCTACCCTCTTTTAGTTTATGGCTATTACTCTTTGTCCTGTAAATGCACTCTCTGGTAAAAAGTCCCCCCTTAGCTTTCCTTTAGGCCCACTTTAGGTACTGGAAGGTCTCTCTAGAGTCTTCTCTTCTCCAGGCTGAGCAACCCCAGCTCTGGCAATGTGGACTGTGTTGATTCAACAGGGCCAAGTGCAAGGTCTCACACCTAGATTGGGGCAATCCCAAGCACCAGTATAGGCTGGACAGGGAATGTGTTGAGGGCAGCCCTGAGGAGAAGGACTTGGGAGTGTCAGTTGATGAAAAACTCAGTATGAACAGGGCATTTTCAGCCCAGAAAGCCAGCCATACTCTGGGCTGTATCAAAATCTGTATGCCCAGCAAGTCAGGGAGGTGTTTGTACCCCCTCTGTTCTGCCTTTGTGAGACCTTGCCTGTAGTACTACATCCTGTGTCTGGGGCCCCCAGTACAAGGATGTGGGGCTGTTGGAGCGGGACCAAAGCAGGGCCACAAAGACAAGCTGATCACATGGCCCACCTCTCAAGCCTTGGTCCCTCCAGTATGTCAAGCACACCACACTGCTTGATGTCATGGTTCTTGCATATTCCTACTGATAAAATACTTCTTGGACCAACGTAGCGTTAGATGATGCAATTTCATTAGAATATATAATTTTGGAGACTGCATATAAGCACTATTTTCAGCTGAATTTTTTATTGTAACATTTGGAATAATACCAATAAATTTCTGGCCCAGGATAAATAAATGCAAATGTTGTGCAAGTAATGAAGTTTATTTTAGTTCTTGTGTTTACATGATGTCCCAGTGCTAAAAAGATTGGTTTCAAAAAAGACATTTTCCTTTTCTTTTTAAGATGTCTAACACCATGGTTTTAGTTCAGCCCTCTCTCTAGGTTATTAGGAATATTTACATAATGAGCATTTGATCCTCAGCGGAACTTGTAAATGATATTATAAAACTAGGTTCACATATCAAACGTGGCTTTTGTTTTTTAAAGAATGCATCCCCTGCTCAAAACACTTCTCATGTGTTTATAATCAGCTGGATTTCTCTAGTTTTAAAAATAAAGGACCTTCTCAAACTGTTTTCTTAATTTGAAAGTGGGGGTGAGAGGACCATAAGCCTAAACTATGCTTTGTAATATGTTATGCTGGTGATCTTTGATACAACATTCACAGTGGAACCTATTGCGGGTGGGAAACGGCTGATTGTTGGCGAGTCCTTTAGTACCACATGTGGTATCTTTGAGAGATTTCCAATTTCCAGGCCATTCTTCTGAGGACAACTCACACCACCCAGTCCACACTGTTTGAGGACTGGGCATGCTGGGGACTCCTTGGGAGTAATGTGGGGTGAGCCAGGGTAGTGACAGCCAGCTCTACCCCAACACAGCATTTCAGTTCATCACCTATTTTTTAGGTACAAAAGATAAAATCACTCAAGGACCTCTAATCTTAAAATACATACTTAGCTTGCATAATGTCCATCAAGTTGTCCAAGTTCTTTGAAGAAATATGAAATCATTTATTTCTTTATATCTTATGTGTTGCTTTCCAGAGAGCATACTGTAATTTAAACCAGTATCAACTGGTGTTCAGGCTCCTTGTCCTTTTGTTGTAGGAGAATATTTCAGAGAACAATTAGTTTGCTGATAATGCCGCTTTATTTCAGCAACAAATGTGTTAATAAGTGGCCTCATAATTCAAAATCAGCTGGGAATATTGACCAACTACCAGTTTTCAGTGACTGAGGATGATGAAGCTGTGCCAAAGTAACACCCCACTGGAAAGTGTTTCTCTCCTTCCCTATCCTTTTCGTCCTCATGCACCCCAAGACTTTTTCAGATATGCACCTTCTTTTCATACATCTGTGTGCCTTGGCTGAGGGCACATAATGTGGGCTGTAAAAATTGAGGTGGGAAAAACAAGCATTGTTATACTTAGGCATGATCAAGAATTCATGTTTCAGTGCTGATTTCTGTTAACTGTTCTTTTTCAGTCTGAGCAACTGCACATAGAGGCCAAAATTAGCAGCCTGCTTTCTATTGGGGCTGAGCTGCTCTGACCCTTCGAGCCCAAGCAGATAGCAGCAGCCTGCAAGCTGACCAACTGTATTGTAGGGATACCAGTTAGGTTTCATCCACCCCTGTGCCAGAGGGCCAAAACCAGATTGTTGTGAAGCAGGGTGGCACCCAGGAGTGCTTAGGACCTGGGGCAGTCCTGGCAAGGGCTTGGGTGCTGGCACCGCATCCTTCTGGCATTCCTCTGTCATCCAGTAGCCTCACCGAGTGACCTCCAAGTAGTATGACTCAGTCCTCCTGCTAGGCAATTTCTGGTTGTTTCTTCCAACTTGAGAACATAGTTTGAATACTTTCAGAAGGATTTTATCTACTGAACCAGCATCAGTTTGTGTATAAGGGCTGTATTCCCAGTGTTATGTTTAAATCCCCTTTCAGTCACAGTGAGGCTTTCTGGGGCTCCTGCAGAGGCATGGCTGTGGCCTGTTGTGTGCCTCCGCAGTGAGCAGTGGCCATGGCTGTGATCAGAAGGAATTCCAGATTAGCTGAAATGACTGCTTTGGCTTGTGCAGCTGTTTTTCAAGGGCTCCAGCTATGCAGACAGCAATGTGGAGGTATGGGCTAAGTTATGAATTTCCTATGTCTCAGCAGCTCAAGGCTAGCCACAGCCGTTTCTGTTTGCCTTACAGCAGAGCAATCTGTTAGCAAAGGAGGAGAAAGTATCTGCGTTTACCAAGAGGGCTGTGAGCTGAAAGCTGTGCGAGCAGCCATGTGTCTGATGCACTAAGCTTAGCCTGAATAAATGTCCATCCTGTAGGCTGTGGGCATTTTGATTCTTAAATCCCTGAAGTCTGAAACAGACAAACATTTCCAATGAAGGATTGGTTTTCCATGTGGTCAAATTACTTTGCTAGCCAGAGATAATGTGAGTGATTACGGTCATCATATGTAAAGGTACAGAAGAGAGTAAAGCATTACTTTATTGGTAGCAGCTACTGAAGAAGGTTTTTAATAAAAATTTGGATTATTCTTCTTAAAAAATAGTCAGGCAGGGATCGCTTGCTCGAAGGGATTTTCCAGCATGGAGCCCCCTGGCCAATTGCATTGTTCTCTTCCCACCACCCCTAGGAATTTTAACAGCTGCCAAATGTCTGGCAGGATTTAGTAAATGACTGACCAATTCTTTTCCATCTTGGAGTTAGCTTGCAAATTTGAAGGCTTGGAAAATAAGAGGGGGGGAAAGGAATCCTAGCCAGTACTGCATTCATTTTTTTGTCAAAATGCCAAGTTTGCCTATTGATACAATATATCCTACCCATGACTGCAATGTAGTTATGTCAATACATGAAAATTAGTTCATAAATAAATCTTTCAGGATAGCTTTTCTCCTAAGTGTTTTTAGACCCTCTCACAGAAGACCTAGTGACAGACAGATCAGGTTATATTTCCACACATAATCCTTGAAGCGCTCAGTATCTCTTATGCCATGCTGAAAAAGAGGTTGACATGGCAGCTGGACCAGTCCATGCTCCAGTGTGGCCCTATGAGATGCTCAGGAACAGGCAGTGCTGCAGTGCCATGGGGCCTTGAGGAAGCTGAGGGCCAATGTCTTCCTGAGGAGTAAGGAAGGAGAATGGGCAGCTGTCTGTCATGGAGGTGGCATGCTGTTGTCTAGCAGGTGGTTGGGGAAGGGAAAATAAGCAGTCTTGCCTTGGAGAGAAGAGCAGAAAGAATAGGAAAGTACAAGAAGAAAAGAGTGACAGGAATGTCTTTTCTACAACAACAACAACAAAAATTTTACCCTTTGCAAATATGCAGCTTCTCTGGAGACTCTCTTATCTTTGTTCTTAGTATTACTACTGTCAGCAAAAATACCTAATGCTTAAGTAAAACATTCTACCCAGACACATTTAGTTTCTCCTGCAGCACCAAAGATGGGTATTTAGTGCTTGCTGTCTTACTGGTAACTGCAATCAGGCAAAGGTGTTTTTATTAGGCAGAGTGACCTATGTAGCATAGGAGGATTCCATTTGAAGTTGGTATTAATTAGTATATGTGCCGCGTAAGACATTGCAGAAGCTTTCTTAAAGATTGTAGGGCTTTTCTTGTAATGCTTCCTTATCTTGCAGTTTAACGTAGTGGTTATTGATCAAAGTGTGCTAAGTTTTTAAGATAAGTAAAGAGAGAAATGCTCTCAATGCGGATGCATGTATTTGAAATTATTTTGAATGGATAGTGAAATGAAGTGTTCTGATGAGATCCAAAAGTGATCCCTTGCAAGTTAACTTGTCTTTCTGAATTAGTCACGGTGTATACTTTCTTAATGCAGTACAAAGTACAAATGTTAGCTCATCAGTATTTTAGCAGTGTACCTTCTCGGAGTAAATCACGCTGTGGTCCGGGCGGGACGACAGTGTTTACCCGTGAGGAATCTGCCATGCCGTGGGGAGGCAGGGTGCCCAACTGTGTGTGTTTGGCTGCTAGTGAGTGTGGCTCTGGGCAGTAAGCAGCCTTTAAAGGAGTGCAAGTAGCTGGAGGTGGGTGGGGAGGTGCTTTTTTCCTGCTAGCTGTCCCATCCGTGGTTGCAACTTCAGCTGCTATTTTATTTAAAATGTGTGCTTCATGTTGATGTTAATGCATTCTTCCTTAGGGACATTCCAGCTATATTACACACCTTGATTGGTCCCCAGACAACAAGCATATAATGTCAAACTCAGGAGACTATGAAATACTATACTGTAAGTATGACGTGAAATGTACTGGAAACAAAAACATGCATTAACTATCACAATATTTAGAAGAATGTGTTTGAGTCTTTGCAAAATGCTCGCTGACTAATTTGAACTCTTGTAACCTGATATCTTGATGTTATTCAGAGCTGTGTGTTACCTAATGGCAATGCCAAATATAGCTTACTTCTTTACAAGGTCATAAATCAAGTTAACAGCTTAGAATTTACAGAACAAGTGGTGCTACGTTTTGATGTTGGCTCAAATCTCCATAGATTGAAAATAATATATATAGTTGTCTAATTTGTGTCAACAGTACTGGTTATTTTGGAGGGATAAAATCAGCAGGTCTGTGCCTCTGTTGAGTTGTTTGTTTGTTAACTTTGTCTGGTGATGCTGAGAACTGAGAAAAGCAATAATACTACGTTAATGAATTAATGATTATCTTGTTTTTGCATTTGTCATTTTTATATGTGAAAATATGAATTTAATATATAGTTTTTAGGCCACAAGTTCAACTTGTTTAGTGTATATCAGCCTACACTACTTTTTTTATAATGTTCATATCATTTTAGCAAGGAAAAAAAGGACTACAGTTCTGCTGCTGCATAGACAAGAAGAGCCAGAAGTTTAAATATCTGATATGTTGACGTGTTCCTTTTGCTTGTCACTGCTTAGGCTTCAAATCTGGATAGCACAGTGCCTGACAATAGCAAAAGGAAGTGTTGGTGGTTGTAACTGCCTGCACAGGAAAGCGAAGAGCTGTGACCCATTGACTTTGGGCTGGTTTATTGAGAGAGACATTTTGTTGGGAAGCAATCTTTCCTTTCTATATCTAGTTGAAAAGCTGTCCAAGTAGTTGCAAGTCCAAGTAGTCTCTGGCAGTAGTTTCTCACTGCTTTAAAAGCAGAGTTTCCTGAATGGTTGACTGATTTTTAGTATGCTCATCAAGCTGGTAGAAAGGAGACATTCAGCTATTACATGAAAGCATTTATTGCATCAAAACATTTTGTAGGCTATTCTACAGTAGCAGTGGACTCAAACTACAAGTGTATTTGAAGTATGCTAATCTGAAAATGGAAATGAAAATAAAATGTAGCTCTTAGATACTGGGCAAAGCATCAGGTCTAGAAGGTACTGGTGTATCTTTGCCTCTACAGTGCAATTCCAACTTGGCCTTAAGATTTGTTTTGTTACTGTTTCTATTAATTTTAGCATCTTTAAAGAGCACCTGTATAAATGTGAGGGTATATGCTGTAACTCTTATTTCACTTTTATTACAGGGGACATTCCAAGTGGCTGCAAGTTAATCAGGAATCGTTCTGACTGTAAGGATATAGATTGGACAACGTACACTTGTGTGCTAGGCTTTCAAGTGTTTGGTAAGCACCATTTAATTTGCTTTTAAGCTACTTGATGCTTTTGTGATTTCTTTCTGGGATGGAGAGGACAGCCCAAAGAGACTGACTATTGCACTAGTCTGTGATACAGACCACTGGATACTGCACAGTGTAATTGTAATTGATATCTATTAAATCTTGAAGCCTAATATTTGATTTTTCTGCTGTCATTTTAGACTACCATCTTTGGGAAGTTTGAACTAAAAAGCTGGTATTTTTAAGTGTTCTTATGGTACAGGTAGATTGCTCTTTTCATATGTTGATTTGGGATAGGAGACTATGCAAGTGTAAGATAGTTCATGACTTACAGTCATGACAGCACCTTGATAGCTGTAGTAAAAAATGAATAATAGACACTGGTTTTTAAGAGTAATACTGCTTAGAAAGTAAAAGATTGTACACCTAATGATTTATTTCTAAAATGTAAAAAATAATAATTTCACAGCTGACAGATATGTTAATAATCTAATTTGGGACTGTATGCAACTAGTCCAAGCAGCTCCTGCTGATGGCATCTCTGTTGACCTTAAACAAGTTGCTCCTCTGTGTCAGGTTGAAATGTACTACTCAATCCAATTTGTGTGAGCAGGATGCTGAATGTTTTGCTTCTACCACTAATCAGATACCTCCCTCAGTTGTTCACATTGTAGGAAACACCAAAAGCAGGCAAATCAGCAGTTTCTTTAGAAGGGAAGGTTAGGTTTACAGATCTTTTCTTCTCAACTGCTAGGAGTTCATTTCTGAATATCAGTTTATACAGGGTAGAAAAAATATCACGTAACTTAAGTGCTTTGTTTTAGCTTCTGACAGCTATCATTTATATTTTTAGATTGTCAGTTGCTTAATGAGCAGCTAGTCAAAAGATTAGTTAACAACTAATCAAAAGTTTGCAGGTTTTTGGGAGGCTAACACTAATGCTGTTGCATGGTGTAGATATTAGGTGGAAGGAATCTGGAGGCTTTATAACCAGCCTCATGTCTCTGACTTCCAAAGATCTGAGGCAGAGCCAAGAGAATAAAGGGATCAGGGAAGGATTCTGACTGGTAGATAAACTGCACAAGTATTTTTTAGATATTCAGAACTTGAGAGTAGGTATCAAAGATAAACAGGCATTTGCTCTTTCTGGAGCTGAATGCAGTTGCTTAATGCAGTTTTAATAAAAAAATATTGGCTTCAATTATCCAGATAAATGTGTACCAGATTGTCTATGTGCATGTTTTTATTCATTTTGTCTGTGAAATTTAGATTGGATGGCTGTTTCCTCTTGATGCTCCGTACATGTAAGCCCAAGCTGATTAAAGCTATCAGTTCATAGTAGTCATTTCCTTATTTTGCTGCTGTGGAGCTACAACTGAAATAATAACATAACACAAATGCATTTTTGAAGTGGAATATCAAAAGATTCAGAAAACAATAATGTGAAAATCAAAGCTCTCTCTTCTGTGCTAATATGACCTTTCTCCAGAAGCAGTGAAAGCACTTTGTAAGGCAAATGAACTCACTGCTCTTGCTGGCATAGCCTGAGATCTGAAGCCACTTTTTGTTTTATTTGGAGTACTTTTATCTAGCAAAAATTTGGGGGCAGCAGAAGATGGCTTTGTTGCTACTGATAGAGTTATGTCACTTGGTGGTATAAGAGAGAAAAAGTAAAGGGAGCAGCTGATCCAAGCACTTTCCCAAAAGAGTTTGACATGGAAGTGCGTATGAAGCAAAGGTTTGGAATTGAATCCTTCCATGCAGAGTAAATGGTACTCACTGACATTTATCAACGCTTGCTGAACATTTATGGAAACCAAACACTGGATATAAATGAGCACAGTGAGGCAATGGGTGGTGCTTTTCATCAGTGGTGGCAGCAACATTGGGTCATGCAGGCTCTTGTTCATCACGTAAAAATACATAGCTAATGACAGTGACTGTATTAAAAATGAGTGTTTTATAGCCAAGAATTTGCTCTATCAAATAGTGTTATTATGCTCTTTGTATCTGTTGTAATTTCCATGGAGATAAGTAGGAGGTATTACTTTCAGAGCAACCTAAGTATTTAAACTTGCTAGACAAGATTCATCATGCTTTAATTTTGTATTGTCTGGTGGTTTGACACTACTTTCAGAGTCATATAATTGTGGCTTGGTCCCAGACAAAGGCAATAATTTTCCCATTAAATCAGACAGTGCAGATATTTGCTGTTGGCTTTGACACCAGAGTGAGCTGGCTCAGGGATCCAAAAAAACCTGGGCACTGCTTACTTTGATGTTCAGAAGAGAGGGCTGAGTTTATGGGATTTAGGCTTTCAGGAGCATGTGTTTTACAGATTCAGTTCTGTGGATGGTGTCTGTAGGCATAGGCATTGCACTGTTGTTGGCAGACTAAAGAGGATGGAAGCACACAGTGGGGATGAGAATAGCATCACTCCCTTTTGGCTCTCAACACTACTGTAGTGGCTTAGTGGTATCCTCAGTCTGCACCCTGAGCACTTGAAGTTGCTTCCTTGTTTACTGCACATTTTCCACACTTCCCTCTGAGCAGATTCTTCTGAGAGGCTTACTCCTGACCAGCAGAATTTATTAAAATTGAAGTACAGCTGTTGAAGTCCTATTATTTCAGTATTGGTTTTTTTTTTCTTATTTTAAAGTTCTTAAAAACTCAGAACTTGGTCACTTTAATCCCTTAGCTTTCCATGCTTTCCAGCTGCACTGAAAGTGAACCCTACTTTATTATATTAAAAGATTGTCTGGCGTTTATAAATGCTGAAGGAATTTTTGAACACAAAAAAAAGTTTAATAAGAGACGCAATCTTGAATATTAGTCTTTTTAATCTTAAATTAAAAAGAAGAGGAAATAGTGTAGCTATTTAGGACTGCCTGCCTTAGGTGCTAGCTGAAACTTCAGGAAAACGGCTTTAAGTTCATTTATTCCTCCCATCTGATGACAGTATTTTATATAAGGAATGCAGGAAAAAGTTAAAATTAATTCATTTTGAGCTACTTGGAAATTGTTTAATATATTTTTCAGATTTAATTCAGTGGTGCAAGAGTATTAAAATATTTCTGAATACCTTCTGCACCTTTAGTGCATGCCTTTAGTGAATAATATGCCATGTAGTTTATTGGCACTGCATTGAATGTGATAAGCTGCCTTTGTTATTGGTCAGAGAAAATGAAGTTCTCACTCAACCCACTGAAGAACTGGGAGGGGGAAAACAGCTTTAAAGTTCAATGTTTTTTTTACGATTTTGCTTAAAAAGAAGAAAATGTAGGAGTTTGAAAAGATAAGGTAGTGCTATGTCTGAGGTTTTTGCTGTATAAGGTAGTTAGCAGCATGTGCTTTTTATTCCACCAAAGCCAGTGATTATAAGGAAGGTTTTTTCATATCTTAGAGTGGATATCTCTTTCAGTAAATCAGACACAAAATCCTTCTTGAGGTGGAAAAAAATTGAAGGGAAAAAATCTTCATAACTCTCAGCTTAATCAAAAAAATTACTCTCACCTACAAAATCTGCCACCATTGGCATAAATTTCTATTTTACAGCGCCTTGCTTAATTTTCTTTCAGTTTTTCTCACAGGTGTCAATCACCAGTTTTCTTATGATAATCTCTGAGGTGTTCATTTTTGTTCAAACTACAGACTCTCCCCTTCCCAAATTGTTCATCCAACTGCTTTTCATCCAAGCAGTGTTGTTATTCTTTTGTCTAGACATATCAACGTCTTATTTTTTTACTTAAATCATATTGAATTGTACTTAAGCAGTTGACAGCGCTTTCATCTATAAAATTTGCAGTCTGGGTTTCTGTATAAAGTATCATCAGTCGTCTCTGTTGAATCATGCAAATATTAAAAATTGCAACAACAACAAAAAAAACCTCTGAATAATGTACAGTACTTTGCCTTGTTCCATACTTCAGCAGCAGTCTTGCTTTTTAAATGCTCGTGTGCAAGCCTGTGATAATTTAAGAGTTGCTAGTCTAAGCAACAAACTTAATCTTAAAATCAGTGTTAGAGAAGACTGAGCTTTTCACCAGGAAATATATCAAGCCCAAGAGACTATCTGGGCTAGGGCTGAGGGCCTGAGGGTAGAAGGGACTGTGGGCGAACAGCATTAGGCTGACAATGACTACAACATTTAATTCAACACCTGCTCCATTTTCCAATTGAATTTCTTGTTTTTCTTTTGTTATGCTTGTCTGTCACAGCCGTATAGATTTTGTTTGATAAATATCTGCTATCCAAATATCTGCACTCCTTTCTCCTAGGAGTATGGCCTGAAGGATCAGATGGGACAGACATAAATGCTCTTGTCAGATCCCATAATCGAAAAGTGATTGCAGTTGCTGATGATTTTTGTAAGGTCCATCTCTTTCAGTATCCTTGTTCCAAGCCAAAGGTAAGTCTAGACCACTCTGATCTTATGTGTATGTTTGCACTACATGATGATTTCCTTGCCAGATGCCTGCTTTCAGCCTGAGTGTTTTGGAAACTGCCAACCAAATCTGTGAGAACAGCACTAGAGATGAAAGCATACTTTTATCCATTAATGTAACAGTTGGTTCATAAGATTAAGATTTTTATAACGTGAATTTATTTATATATATATACTGAAGTAGCCATAGTTATCCTTAAGTTATGGAGCAGAAGCTTGATTCATTCTGTTCAGAGGCCTTAATTCATAGAAACATTATGGTTGGAGAAGACCTCTAAGGTCATCTAATCCAGTCATCGTGACTCCACCACCTCCCTGGGCAGCCTGTGTTAGTGCCTGACCACTCTTTCAGAGAAGTTTTTCCTAGTATCCTAGTTTGGTGTACATTACCTTTCAAATGATGTTCTAAAATTTTCCTGAGTTGTAAACATTAAGAAGAGAAGATTTATTGTATGGGAAATCTAAGCATATATTGGTACTTGTATATGTGAATGAAGGGCTGAACAATATTAACTTTAGATTTCAGTATCCTGTGTTCTTGTAATGAAATGTGTGATTCTTCTTTCCTGCTTATTTTAATAGGCTCCGAGTCACAAATACAGTGCTCACAGTAGTCATGTGACAAATGTCAGCTTTACCCATAGTGATAGTCACTTGATCTCAACTGGAGGGAAAGACATGAGTATTATCCAATGGAAACTTGTGGAGAAGGTAACTCTACCACAAAATGACATTGTTGTAGACATCGGTGCAACCAAAGTGCCCATTTCTGCCAGTGAGAATGCTGTACAGTCTCCTGCTCCCCTCCCGCAGCCTTTTAACGAAATGAACCAAATTGAAAGTGTAACTGGCAGCTCTCCCGCCTCCCTGGAGAGCAACTTGGAGCAGTCTGCAGAGGCCAGTGAGGAACAGAGCGAGGAGCAAAGTGATGGGAGCAGCCTGGACCCCGCGGAGCCAGGCTATGAGGAGCCCTCCAATGAGACGAGTGAGGAGCACAGCGAGTCCACGGTCACTGAGGAGCAGCAGGAGAACTCGCCAGAGTCATAATGCTCCCAGCTCAGATGGTTGTTATTGTCCCTTGGTGTGCGTGCTTTCATTACAGGGTGAGGGTTCAAATAGGCAAAAGTAGCTGAGATTCATGACCACTCCAGCTTTTTGAGTTTTGGTGAGATTTTTAGTCTGAGCTTCAGTTCAATATGTGGAACCATCCCAAGGGCCTGGCTTTGATGGTTTGTATCAAGATCTGGTCAAAGTTAGTAGTGGACATTATCATAGATCCATTGTAGTTCTGAAATTGCTGTTAGGAAGTGGCATGAAATGTATACTGGAAAAAAAAGTTAGCTCTAAGAATTAGCTGAGATAGACCACCTTACCTATGTGAAAGGGCTTTCTGAAAGAGCTAAGCTGATGGGAAGCACTGAGCAATTCCAGCTGAGGAGTTACTGTGCTGCTTTTTCTAGGTGCAAAGACAAACAAAAACCAAAAATCTCTTGGTAGGGCTGTTTTCCTTTGTTTTTTCTTAGTGAGAAAAATAGAGGAAAAACAATGTAATGATGCCACGTGTATGGCAATGCCTTCTTGATCTAACACATATGCAATTTTCTAACACTACTAATTCCTAGTGGAGTCTGGACATGCTCACAGTTGGTCTGCCCTGGGTGCTGCTAGTTCTAAGGCAAATCCTATTGAGGAATGGTGTCAGCCGTTCCATTTTTTTAGGCTACTTAATAACAGACTAACCAAATACTGGTGTGTTTCACTTTTCATGACCTGAAAGTTGATTTAAACAGTAGGATCCAATTGTCTCTTCAAAGAATTGCCTAGAGAGTCTTTACAGTGACTTTGATGTGAATGGCAGAGAATGTGCGACAAGAACACAAGTCAGATGGGCTCCAGAGTTAAGCTTTAAGCCTTCAAGCAGAACTTGCTCCATCCGTAGTAGGAGAAAAATACAGTTAACTTAAATTATTAAATCGGTGCTTGGGATTACTATATTAAGTCGGTAATTTTTTTCTTAATTTTTAGAGGTAACTCCAGGAATCATTAAACTGCAATCTTTTTTCTTTTTTTTTTTTTCTTTTTTCTTTTTTCTTTTTTCTTTTTTCTTTTTTCTTTTTTCTTTTTTCTTTTTCTTCTTTTCTTTTTCTTTTTTCTTTTTCTTCTTTTTCTTTTTCTTTTTTCTTTTTCTTCTTTTTCTTTTTCTTTTTCTTCTTTTCTTTTTCTTTTTTCTTTTTCTTCTTTTTCTTTTTCTTTTTCTTTTTCTTTTTCTTTTTCTTTTTCTTTTTCTTTTTCTTTTTCTTTTTCTTTTTCTTTTTCTTTTTCTTTTTCTTTTTCTTTTTCTTTTTCTTTTTCTTTTTCTTTTTCTTTTTCTTTTTCTTTTTCTTTTTCTTTTTCTTTTTCTTTTTCTTTTTCTTCTTCTCTTCTCTTCTACTTCTCTGCTACTTCTGTTCCTTTAGCAATGGTGATAGAAGCATACAGCAATTTAGATGATGTGATATTTTTTTTTGTTTTTGTTTTCAGACTTGCTGATATATTTTGTGACTTTGTTTTTACCACCCCTACTTCCCCATCACCTCTCTCTCCCCAGGTTGCTCTAAGCCATGCAGATCTCATGTGGCTATACCTGGCCAGTTACGGGATATCTTGGCATTTGTTATGCATTTGGAAAGTAATTTTTTTTTTTTTTAATGAAGTTTGTCAGATAGCTACAATTTTTTCTTAAGTGCATACGTTTCCTACTTTAAAAAGATATAGTTTTACTGACAGATATCCATTTCCTATGTACTTGTTTATATTTTGATTACATAGAATTTTCTTTTTTAACTTGCTGCATTGTGCTGGTATTTTAGTTCTTAGTTAGAATATCATGTTTAGATACTTTGGATGAGTTCATAAGTCTTAATTGTGCAAGCGTTTACGTGATTGTGCCATTCCAAAGTGCATCAAAACTGTCATTCCCTTACTAGTGTCTTCTCAGGAGAAATGCTACAGATCAGGTATTTAGTCATCATTTGGAAAGATAAAAAATAAATGGACTCCCAAAGGACATTTAGAACATTTATATATAAAATATATAAATATATATATACACACATATATATATATTAAAAAATATATCCTCTTGTTTACAACAGTTCCAGAAAACCTCAAAGTAGTTCCCTTCGGATGGAGGGACAAATGGATTCCAAGCAACCCATCTGTTTAAACTGTGCTCTGTACATAGTGTTTTACTGGAGAGCTCTAGTTTGCCTGACTTGCAGATTTGCCAAAAAGCAGCAATGGAAGATAAAGATCAGCTTATCAGACTGTATGGTTCCAAAGGAGGAGTATGGCATAGGTTTAGAAAATTATCCTAGTAAAGGAAAAAGGATTTTAGAGCTAATGAGGCACAGAGCTCTCTGTCATTTTTATGAACTCCATGTAAGCAAGACATTTCATTTGGAACATCTGTCACCTGGGGTTGCCATGTAAAATGAGAGTTATATAGTTGTGATATTCTTGTGTTTGTAGTTCAGAAGACTCTACTAATATGCAAAAAGCCTTACAGCTTTCAATTGCTGGCAACTACTGTTTAACAAATAATTAAATCTGTGATAATGGATGGAAATGGGTGGGATTATGTAACAGTAGATGTTTTAGAAAAATAATTGTGAATGAATTAAGAGTGTTTCATGTGAAGATGTTTGAGCCATTTCTATCTATCATGCATTCCTGTCTGAAGGCAGAAAATTTTGAAGATTAAAAAAAAATAAAGTAATCAAAAGAATATATTGCAGTGTATTTTTCATATCTGTCCTTCTGGCTCCTTCTGTATGCAGTGTGTGCATGTTGTGGTCACATTTGTGATGTCTGTGTGTATTGTTTTAGAAGACAAGGAAAAGGACCTCATTTATTTTGTGCTTTCTTGATGACTTTCTAAAAATAAGCATCAGGAGCATTGGCTGACACTCCTAAAAACTGCTCATTCTTACTTTTCAAATGTTTTGATGGGCGCTGTGGGATTACAGGTAAGTGTCAGTCCTGGTATGTATTGCAGGCTTACCTTCCTGGGTTCTACATGCTTCTGCAAGTCATGTGAAAAGTACAGGGTTATTTGTGAAATAATGTGTTAAATATCATGATGCTTCCACATTGCTGATGGTCTCCATCCAGTTGCAGATGAAGAAGGTCATAGAATCATTTGGAAGGGGCCCTTAAAGGCCACCTGATCCAACTCCTTTGCAGTGAACAGGTGCACCTACAACTCAATCGAATGTCTCCAGGGATGGAGCATCCAGATCCTTCCTGAGCAAACAGTGCCATTGCCTCACCACCCTTACTGTAAAAAAAGCCTGTTTCATTATATCCAATCTGAATGTCCCCTCTTTCAGTTTAGTTTAAAACCATTTTCCCCTTGTCCTATCAAGGGTCACAATATGCTTCAGTTTCTTAATATATTCCTTGTGAATGATTCTTTGTCTTTTATAAGGCTTTGAATTGTATTGCTTGCAGCTGGTTCCTGTCATTTGCAAAAGGAGGATGAGGTGGAGAAGAGAAAGAAACCTCCAAGATAGCCAAATACGTTATGTTTATCCTTGCTTAAAAGCAAACAAACAAACTAAAAAACATCAGTGCCACATCTTGAGTTTGACTGGAAATCTCAGTGACTCTTTTTTTCCATCAGATTACGTAGCTGTTCTAAACTGAACAAGCAGGTGCCTTAAAATCATGCTATGCTGTTTCCAGCACACCCACAACATCACGTACCACTGGAGTATGGGCAGCTGTGCAATAGCATGCTCTTCCTGGCTCTACTCCCTTTCTGTCCAAATTCAGCACGAGGTTTTGCTGCTTTTCCTGGGCTGCTCAGTAAGGTGGGAAGCAGCCTTTCGCACGATGGAAGCAGGATATGGCTTCAGGCGCTTGCTGCTGTGGGACAGCATCTTCTGCTGCCAGCTCAGGCAACTTGTAATGGTGATGGTCTTTGTCACGTGGAGCTGGACTTCAGAGTGGAGGCTGCAATTAAGACATTAAAACTATTGTCATTGAGCATGACAGAAACTTTGAACTGTACATTAAAATGTTTGTTTAGGTTGCATAATTAAATAACTGAATGTTAGGAAATGTCCAGTATATGCATCTTTATGATATGCATCCATATTCAGATGTATCTCATGTGAGGTGATATTAACAGAGTTTTGCATATAAAGGGATACAGTATGATGATATATTACGTGGGGCTTTTTGTTTTCCTTCCATGAAAGCTCCAGAGTAGGTAAGGAATAGACTACAGGTGTAGATGGGTGATGGGGAACCAAGCATTTCTTACGTTTGATCTTCCTATAATTCTCATTATAAATAACAAGTTCTTGTATATGATGTGTGTTAAGTACTAGCCTCTTGGCTTTATTTAATCATCTCTAGAATGCATAGATTGTGGCTTTAGTTTTCTTTGAAAATGTGGAGCAAAATTTACATTTTACGACACTGATAACAAGACCCTATTTGAAGTGTAGACTCTGTAAGTTATACTCCTTCATAGTTCCTTCAGTTCAGTGTGGTATTTTAGCTAAACTGGGACAAAAAGAAGTAGTAAGCCTTCGTGAAATTTAAGCTAAACTGAGCCAAAGAAAAAAGTTCTCCTTTCTGCTGCCAATGAATTGTTGATTCCTGGCAACAAAAGGATTAATATTACACGAGATGGATTTAACTTGTGTGAGACTTGTGCTGCTTGTTTGCTTTCCTTCTGAACAAGTCCAAGCCCATTGCCTAATCCTTATTTCTCACAGATGGTTTATGTACTAATACTTTAATCAACTGAGAATACAAACCTGCCTACAGTGGGATTGTACAATCAGGAATCGGAGCAGCATATGCATTGTAAACTGTTTAATGTATACAGTGATGTATTTGTGTGTATATACGAGCATCAAACAGAAAAGACTTCCCAGGGACATTTTTTTAATGCTTGAAAGAGAAGGATAGGTTACTGCCTTTATGCTGCAGGGAAGCACGAGCTCTTAAGGAGGTTTAGGAGCGTAGAGAAGGGGAAACATTCCCAGCAGGATGTGGGGTGAGAGGGATGGGGAGGAATTGAAATGGTGGAACAGCATTTCCCATCTCAGTGCTGCAGGACAGGCCCCATGGCTCCCTGTGGGTCTGGATGCACACCGTCATTGGGATGGATGAGGTGAAGTTCCCGACATATCTTCTAGAGGTTAATGCTTCAGAAGAGGTAACTCGCAATCTTGAGGCATTTTACCAGGTAAGCAAAAAACCCCCTCAGAGTTTGCTTTCTGACAAGCAGTGTGCTTTGTTGTTCATTGGGATTGCTGCCTAAAACACTATTATTTAACTTAGTAAAGGCTGTCTGGATTATAGTCATTATCCATACTTTTTTTTTTTATGAAGTGCATTAAAGTTACTCTTTCTAGAACACACTTTGTATGAGGTGCTCGAGATAGCTCTTGAGATACCAAATTCCACATTGTGAAATGTTTCATCAATCTGATGCTTCTGTTGTGCACTGCTAGTTTATCAAACACGCTCCGAATCTCCCATCACACGTCCTGCTCTCATCCGACACACATCATTGGACTTCCAGACTGAAAGCAAGAGCGAGCATTTGCTTATGATGGTGTTTCAGAACTTAATTCCCCTTTAAATAGGCCATCTTGTTATTCTAGTCAGTGTTCAAACATTCCCTCCTTCCCCCCTACTCCCCCAGTACATATCCATCAAATCCTTGTTCTGCGAATAAGTTTTTTCCTTTAGCCTCTCTTATGTCCATTCATGTGCCTTTAACTATATTCAATAAAATTATAGAGGAGGGGATGTCCTAAGCTGTCTACATCTGATGAGGGTACTACTTCAAAGGCCAACTACTATGGAACTGGTATGGAATTAATTCCTAGTGTTTTAAACGAAAGCCTTTGTCTGTTACTGTGTGGATGATGAAGTAGAATTGGGAACTTTCGAGACCGAGATAAAAAGAGATGAGAAAACATAGTGGTATTATTGCATTAGGGAGGCTTGGAGACTGACCCTGAGCTCAGGAAAAGTAGAACTGAGCACACAAACAGTTTTCTATATGACAGTGAGAAAAGAAGAAAACTGAGCTATGTAGCATGCAGAGAAGGTAAGTGTATGCTAAGCTCCCATTGTTTCTTCTGGCACCAGGGTGATTGTG